CCTACTATTGCTTACTTCTCTACATATTTGCAGGCCTCAACCTAGGGCTCGAGTTTCTTAAGGTAATCCGACTCTTAACTGGCCTCTAGGATGGTATCACCAAAGCAGGACCCTACACTCATTACTGCTGTATTGGAAAAGTCTTCCCAAGGGAAGAGAAGCTGCAGCCTTTACTGTAAACATTTTAGAGGTTTAGGTTTTTACTACCTGAATAATGAGGGAGAAGAAAGCGCTGAAATCTCTTGATGCTTAGAACCAAATAGCCCAAACAAAATTTTGAAAAATCTTCATTATTTCAAATAACGTGGTTTGCGTATAGATGAATTAAAATCCTCAACCTATGTGCTTGGGGGAATTAGTTCTTCAGGAGGTTGGATGCTTTGCTCAAGGTCAAAAGGTTTTTTGGTGTCTAGAATAGCAGTTTAAGGCCCTTTGGAGGCTCGGCTCAGCAGCTAAAGCATTTAGCTGCTAACCCAAAGCCTTTCCTTAGGAGAGAAATGTGGCACTTGGCTTCCATAAAGATTTACCGCTGTGGAATCCCTCCCTTGCAATTCTACTTTGTGTTGCAGGGTAGATAGGAGTTGAAATCAACTCACTGGCAGTGGATTGGGTTTTAGAGTAGCATTGGAGCTCAGTTCTTTGTGTTTTTGAACAATTTTTCTTAGCACTTCATTCACATGTCATATAATTCAGTAATTCAGCCATATCAAGAAAGTTGTACAATTAGCCCCACATTTAGTTCTAAAACATTTTCTTCCCTTATACTTATTCATGTAATTTTTTTCCTAATTGTGGCAAAACTATACAGTCTACAATTCCACAACTTCTACATATATAATTCAGTGCCATCGATTGTACTCCTCATGTTGTACAACCATTATTGCTATCCTTTTAAAAATTATTCTACCACCATTAACATAAACTCATTGCCTCCTAAGTAAATCTTTTCTTTAACCCTTAGACCAGTAATCCTCCTGGATCACCTCCACTATAGTGGTCAACTGGATATTAAGATGTAAATTCCCAGCCTTCGTTTACAGACTAGAGGAATCAATTCCTGAAGATGGAATTTCTGGGATAGGCTTTTCTACCAGATACTTGCAGGTGATTTCTTGTTAGGTGCCGGATTCATAGTGACCTCTGAACAATAGGAAGGGACACTGCCAAGTCCTGCACCTTCCTCAACAGTTGTTCTCTGTTGGCACCCATTCTTGCTGTCACCATGTCAATCCGTCTTGAGGGACTCCCTCTGTTTTTCACTGTCCCTCTTCATTACCCCTTAATAAGGACTCTATTTGAGAGAGTGGAACTGCCCCTGTGGGATTCTGAGACTTTAACTCTTTACGGGAGTAGAAAGCCTCGTTTTTCTCCCATGGTGTGACTGGTGGCCTCAAACTACTGACCTTACAGTTTGCAGCCCAACTCATGAGCCTATGCCAGCAGACTTGAGCTTGATTTTTCAGTCGGTCTATTTACCGACTTACCGAAGAAGCATGACATTCTTCGCCGGACTGGTCTCTTGATGACATTTCCAAAGTGTGTGTGAGATGTCTTGCATCCTACCTCTAAACACAGAATTCGACTCATTGCCAACAAGTCAGTGCTAACTCTAGCTTATCCCCTGTGGGTTTCCGAGATTGTGACCACCAGCGTAGAAAGCTCAGTCTTTCTCGAGGAGCTGCTGGCAGTTTCAAAGTGCTGGCTGTGTGGATTGCAGCTCAATGCATAACCACTACACCACCAGGGCTCTGACGTCCTACCTAGTGCACATTAAAGATTGCAAATCATTGCCTTGGGTTTTGCTTCTTAAAGCCTTGGTTTATGTTTTGTGTAATAGTAGTAAAGCTAAAACTTAAGTACTTTTGTTTCATTAAAAAAAAACAAACCACCTCCACAGTCTTACCACACTGGGTAATTCAACACAGGGAATGTAAAACCAGCTTAGATGGTGGTGGTAGGATAATTTACCTCCTGCTCATCAATGAGGAGAAAGATGAGGCTCTTTCTCCTAAATATTTGCAGCCTTGGAAACCCTTTATTTAGGTAGCACTTTCTGGTAAGCGTTGGACTTCAAGTAGGCTGTTCAAATCTACCAGCCGTTTTGTAACACCAAGGTGAGACTGCCCCCCATAAAGATTTACCTCCTTAGAAATGGTATGTAGGGTCACTTGACTTGCTAGCAGTGAGTATGTGTCACAGGTTTTATAAAGATTGTTTCTTCTAATCTTTAAATCCTCAATATGTAAATACAGTCCCCATTTTAAGATGAGGACAAGTCTTTATAAGTGAAATAACCAAATGTGTGATCTTGCATAGATTGCAAGGTAACTCTGGAACCTGTATCAGTCTATTTAATTCTCAAACCCCAGCATGCTGCTCCTACTATGCTGAATGAAGTTGAGTAAAACCATAGATGATTGATTGCAAACAAGGATTAACAGAAAATTGCTCTAATAATATGTGTTGCCATGTTTCAAAAGCTTCTAGTTAGCTCTTTTTCTGTCAGAATTGCCTAATCTTGACAAGGTCTGAAGCATTTCAGTTTTCCCTAGTTATATTTTCATTTATTCTAGTCTTTATTAATTATAAATTCTATTCAAGATTTCATCTTGCCAGCAATGTTATTTTTAAAAGGTTGATGGACTATACCATCTTTGCACTTATCACATCATTATTATTGAAAATAAATTTTCCTTACAAGCATAATTTAACTTTAATATTAATGATTTGGTCCACTCAAATATTTACATGGACTTACAGCAGTGGTTCCCAACCTGTGGGTTGTGACCCCTTTGGAGGTCAAATGACCCTTTCACAGGGGTTGCCCAATTCATAACAGTAGCAAAATTACAGTTATGAAGTAGTAATGAAAATAATTTTATGGTTGGGGGTCATCATAACCTGAGGAATTGTATTAAAGGGTCACGGCATTAGGAAGGTTCAGACCCACTGATTTACAGTTAGTTAGCCCATATCAAACACTGCTGTCTAGCACCCCATTTGAATTACACTACCCCATTTCAGTTATTCCACAGCTCCCATCTGGAAGTTGTCTTGTTCTTTGGGTTTGTTTAAAAAAAAGTAGATGGGGAGGGAGGGAAAAAAGAGGAGCTGATCCCAAGCGCTCAAATAGAAAGTAAATATTTAGAAATATGCTTGAATTCAACAGATGTATGGAATGTTATAAGAGCTGTAAGAGCCCCCAGTAAAATGATTTAAAAATTAAAAAGAAAATTTAACCTGTGAAAACAGTCTCGTTTCAACATGTCACCGCCCCCCTAAAATTGGGGTGTGCAGAAGCTGGCCATTGAATAAAGCATTTATGTAACAGACTACAGAGTGCTGGAGCCCTGGTGGCATAGTGGTTGTGCAGTGGGCTGCTAACTGCAAGGTCAGCAGTTTGAAACCACCAGCCAGAAGAAAGGTAGGGCTTTCGACTCCCATAAATAGTTAGTCTTGGAAACTGACAGTTGCAGTTC